CTGCTCCTAAATGTCGCCTAACAAACCAGTATGACAGCGGTATCAATCCTCATCCAGCGCTTGACAACACAGCAAATAAACACATTTCCTTAAAAGGACAAACTATTCCTTTAAATGCAATTTATGGCTGGGTAAATAACAGCAACGCAAAAAGGAAATGAACAATCGGGGGTCATGAGCACATCTCCTCCATTCCTTTGACTTTTTCCAAACAAGTGTAGCGGCTTCTCTAAATCACGCAATCATACCCCCTCACAAAGAGTCTTCCACAGCACAGTGTGGAGTCATGTACTGTGTATAATTCACATTAATCTTTTCCTAAGTTGGATTTTCAGCTTGACTATGTATGCACACTAAGTTCTTGATGAGGACTCGGGGCGTCCTCACACATCTTACCTCCTCCTCCTCAGAACATGTAGACTTGTCATAGGATGGAGTCACTCAAAGGGCTTTTAATGAACGGAAATATTTTTTCCAGTCAGCTTGTCCCTGTTTTGTCCTTATGAGGCAGAATGCCGCTCACATGACTAACTTCAGACGTCCTGCGATGTGGCACGCCGTGTTCCTGCTGTACTCCTGCTTGTGTGGATACTGCAGGGTTGAGGGTGGAGGGATGAGGTGGCATTCAACCAACAGTTAGCACCACATAAAGCCTTTATCACACCTAAACGGCTCCGTCTCCCAAAGCCTGAGCGAGATAAGCGCTGCCCATTCATCTGTAATGATGTGGAAGCAAGAAGCAACTGAACTGAGTTGAGAGGGAAAGGCTAGCTCTGACACAGCGTGGATGGCTGGAAAGGGTGTGAGGCCAACGGGGCTTCTGTTTGTTCACGTCTCAGAATATGACGTGTGAACATGTGTTTATTTATTTTCTCTTCTCTGCCTCCTGAAGTTAATTACAAGACAAGTGTTGTTTTACACTTCAAAGTCCTGTAATTATCTGGAAGATGAAGCTATGAAGCAGGGGCCACATTACACCAGAGTCATTGAAGAAGTTTCCCTTTGGACTGCAAATTACGTTTTTGCAACCAGAGCGCATATTCGTAGACATTTAACCCTGCCTTTGGATGTTCTTTGTAAGCCTCCGTTCTCAAGTAATAACTGCAAAACCCAGGAGTTCCCAAGTACTTCTAGTACATTTTGGACTTCATGTCTAAATTTGTAACAATCTTTTCTGACAGCATGTGACGGTAGAATAATATTTAGCCACGGTAATATTTATAATCGTGGGTCATAACTCGGGCTGCAGGGTGGCGCAGTTGGTAGCACTGTTGCCCCGCAGCAAGAAGGTTGCTGGTTTGCGTCTCCATGTTCTCCCCGTGCAGCGTGGGTTCTCTCCGGGTTCTCGGGCTTCCTCCCACACAGTCCAGAAACATGCTGAGGTTAATTGGTGATTGTAAATTGTCCGTAGGTGTGAATGTGAGTGTGCTTGGTTGTCTGTCTCTAAGTGTAGCCCTGTGATAGACTGGTTACCTGTCCAGGGTGTCCCCTGCCTTCGCCCTAAGTCAGCTGGGATAGACTCCAGCCCCCCCGCGACCCTAGTGAGGATTAAGCGGTGGATGGATGGGTCATAACTCGTGAAATAAACCTAAAACGCTATCTTGTACTTTCCACATTTTGCACCCATAGACACCTTAGGGAGCCATCACGCATGCCGCTTTTGCAGATGTGATGTTATTTGCATATTTACATCGCAGGAAGTGCAATATGAAGTAGGCTAATTTAACACAAGCACCAGAAGTTTACTTGGAGTTAACCGAGCAGATGTCACGCAGGAACATCATACAGCTACATTTTCTGCTGCTTGATACAAGAAGAAAAGGTTTGCATTTTTTATGACTAATCTACAAGACGGGTTTCTTTAATAGATCCTCGTTTATTCTGAATTCAGGTTTCTTGGAGTTTGTTTGTGTTTTTTAATTTAATTTCCGTGCAGAGTTTGTTGACGTGTAGGCTCCACATGGCGAAATGAGAGAGAAAAGGAAGATTTAGATGCAAAAAAAAAAAAAAAAAGACTCATCAGTTTGGCTTCCCACACATGTCTGTGTCGATAAAATCATTTGGTTTGAACGTGGGTAACTCTGACATTCGAACGCCTCATTTCTCTGTTTTCAGCGTAACCTGTCTGAGCTGCGGCGCTCTAAGTGATGATCAGAATCGTCGTGTTTATCACTTTGGACATAATCGTGCCGCCCCAGTCGGTTGTTTGGAAATATTTAAACTGCAGAAGGGATGATGTTGACCGAAAACAGGTACTCGGCTGGCAGTGCCCCGCAGTTGTTGCTGCTGCTGCACGACGCAACACAACTCGTTTGTTTGACCATTCAAATCAGCACCAAAAGGCTCAGTGCGACGAGCGCAAAAAGCAGATTTTAATGCCGTCCAAAGCAAAAACACTATGAGGGTTGCCATTACCAGTGTTACAAGGAAGGCTCCAAATGGTTCACACTCAAAAAAAATTTCAGATTTTTTTTCCTGTTGCAATATTTTTTTGTGTTTTCGATTGCAGATGTTCTCCCTGACGAAATAACCCTGATTGATTAATTAAGTCTTACCAAATGAATGAGTCTTCTAGTGAAAGTTCCTGTATTTTTTAATAATATATATCACAGAAAATGTATTTTTTCTAATATTTTGTAGCCGTACCAGGCAGGGAACGTGAAAAGCAGTGACATAGTGCTGCCTGCTGATGTTTCTGGAATTAAGTTAAGATCGACAGAAGAAAAGGATGAATAAATAAATAACAAAAGAACGTGTGCTGTAGTAATCACTGATGATCTGTGCTTTACCATTTGGAAGCTAGAATGACGACATATTGATTAAAATGTAAAGTTGCACTTGAAGAGAGCAAGAGTCTGCAGGTGAGCCGGTAGATCTACAAGACTCTACTTAAGCACAGCAGTGGGTTGAGCTAAAGAAGCCAAATTCCTGATGTTTTGCAAATATAATGTCTACAATGCTCGCTACCCCAGATCAGGATGGTGGCAATGTAAGATTTGTTAATTAGCACTGAACATAAAGTACAACTGAAGCTGGTGAAAGCCACAAAAACAAAATGGTACCAAAGCCATCAATCCTCTGTTATTTTCAGGTGTCATCAACAACATCAAGTGACTTCATGTGTACGCCTCGGTTCCGTTCTGGCAGACAGAATAGCAAAGTTAAGCCTCAGGTTAATATAAACGCTATAAATCAGCGTACTATAAAGATCTCATCCATATTAAAGTGTCACTATCCCTTCTTTGTGGAGTTAAGAGACACTTCATCTTCGGTGAAATCAGCTTAGCCGTTGTGTCCCCTTGTGCCTTTTTAAACACGCTGGCAGGCCTCACAGCGCATCTATTCACTTACTCAAACCTGCAACCTGTCTGTGTCTTCCAGGTTTAATTGGCGTCCCGACCGCAGCTCTGGACCCATCAGGAGTTCCAACGGGGGAGACGAATGAGACCGCAGAGTCTACCTGAGAATGCTACCTGTCCCTCGGCCTCGCCATGTCACCCTAGGAACACTGCTCACCTGTCCCCGTCCACTAATCCTCTTTTTGCCTTTGTCATCTCCCATAACCCACTGAGTTTGTGATCCCTCTCTGCGCCCAGCTGAAGTCCCTGTGATATGAGTACAAGAGCTTTTATTTTGGACATGTTGTTTTTTCCATTTAATGCTGCCAGCCACCAAGGCTATGGTGGGAAGCGTCGCTATACTTCTCAGCAGGTCGCTAATCACTGCTTGGTGTGGCTCTTGGGACTCGTGCTGCACCTGACCCTGTCCTCGTGTCAACGAGTCGACCTGAAACACCCCATAGTATCCACGGGCTACGGAAAGGTCCGCGGTATCAGGAAGGAGCTCAACAATGAGATCTTGGGCCCAGTGGAACAGTATCTAGGTGTGCCGTATGCCACCGCTCCTATCGGCGAGCGTCGCTTCCAGCCTCCTGAAGCTCCGGGCTCCTGGCAAGAGATTCGCAACGCCACTCATTTTGCGCCCGTGTGTCCCCAGAATGTGCACGGGGTTTTACCTGAGATCATGCTCCCGGTGTGGTTCACGGACAACCTGGATGCTGCGGCGACCTACGTTCAGAACCAGAGTGAGGACTGCCTTTACCTCAACATTTATGTACCCACTGAAGATGGTAAGTGTGAGCCCAAACTCTCGTACTGCACACAGGAGGAAATGAAACGAGTCCGGGCCCGTGAAGCAGTTCCTTGCATTTAGAGTAGGTTTCTGTAAGAATGACATCCTGTCGCTCTCACTGTGAGTGTCAGCAGATCATTTGGCGTCTTTGCATAAAGCACAGAAGAAAGACTGCTTGTGTCACAACTGTTTCTCAGTGTAAGAACAGCTTGTACTTTCCTAATCATTTTCAAATTTCATATTTGTGTCAGTACTTCCCAGAATGGTGTCATTTTGATAAGTTAGTCAGGATTAAATTCTGCGGAAGAGGTTCTCGTAATGTAAGCTAAAAGACACCCTGGAGATTACCCAAGACTACATTCTGATCATTTCCTGGGCTTGCATTAATGCCTGCTTCAATTACTATTGATTATTAGGTCCAATTATTTTATAGATGCTCATACTGCAGCAGAATCATATCTGCAATCTTCCTTGTGCTAATGCCCTGTTAAGCAATTAGACACACTGGATGTGTATTGCTCATGCTGAGTTCATTTTATCATGTTTAAAAATAATACAGAACATGCTGTACTACTTTTAGCCACGTTGTACCTGACAAACACTAATTTATTTATGCTAATATGAGGGTTTTGTGTGAGCATTGTACGTCACCTTTAACTTTTTTCTTGTACTTCAACCAACAGAAGAGAAGAATCTCTTCAGCTAATCAACCACAGACACAAAAACTTCGTTTATTCTGGAAATATCTAGTTTGTAAAATGTGTTAAACTTTGATTACATTTTTAAAAAAAATCTACAGTCAGTGTTATCCAGGAAGCCCATCCAGTGAATTACAAGCCTACAGTGTTAATAACAAAAGTGCAAAGCCACAGATCTGTTCACTATTTCACGGCCACTGGATTGAGTTGGTCAGTAAGTAAGGCCTCGTCCAAACTAGTGTGGATAGTTTGCAAAAAGAAATGAATGTTTGGGCCTCTTATCGGTACACTAATAGCATTAAAGTTACCGCAAATGGAAAAATGTTTGAACACTTTCTGAAGGGCAGATTTTTAAGAACTCTTGCCGTGTGCGATACAGCCACGGTGGATGATTGTATATATATATATCCCGGTTTCTTTATATTTGGATACTACTACCAGTTCCAACTGCATCACTTTGCCAGCACTTTATAGCCTCTGTGCCAGAATCTGTAGTTTTACCTCCACAGAATCAGTTTTTACTCATTTATTTCCTTTCGTGTTTGGAGAAATTTTGCAAAACAATCTAAAAAAATTTGCACCATTTCCTAAAAATAGAAGGCAAAGGTATTAGTCTAGAACAGGGGTCGGCAACCTTCAACACTCAAAGAGTCACTTGGACCCGTTTCCCACAGAAAAGGAAAGACCAGGAGCCACAAAACCCTTCTGACATCTAAAGTGAAGATACCACTGCATATATCGTTTTTATCTTTAAGCTATGTATAAAAAAACTACACTGTGTTGCATTTATGAAATCAATGAACTGCTACAGAAAAAACGAAACTTTTATTTCTGCAACAAAAACATTTTGAACTCCAAAAAACCCAAAAAGACGCTGGGTTGAAGGCTATTTTGAAATAAAATACTATTTGAATCCTCATGAAATAGAAAGCCGATCTTAAATCATCCACCTGCAGCGAAGTCAAAATGATGTCTGGTTGTCCTGCTGCCTGCAGCTGAGACTGCTGACCAGACTGCTGACCGCCTGTGAGCGCTTTGGGACGGAGGAGCTCACGGCAGCACCGCTGCTCGCTGAGGACAGAAACTGCAGAACAATACGTGTTTTCACATCAGAGTCTCCAAAACACCAGAAAGAGTCGCTAGATTTGTCTGTAGTCGCTTTTGACAAAAAAAAAGTCGCCAAGAGGATTTAGAAAGTTTCCAGATTTAGTGAGAAAGTCACCAAGTTGGCAACACTATGGGTGTCGCACATCGGCGGTTATGACGCATATTTTGATCGACAAAAAAATTAAACACATTTTGTTTTAAGGTTACAAGATCATCATAATCTTCAAATTTAGAATTAGATTCTAAAACCTAACCAACTAAAATAAAATACATTTAAATTAAAATACTCATTATTTGTTTTCCAAAACAAGGAGACGCAGCAGAGATATGAAAGAGCCACATGTGGCTCCGGAGCCGCGGGTTGTCGACCCCTGATCTAGAAAAACATCTGCATTAGTGTTGCAGGGCCTAAGAACAACAAACCAGTGCATTTCCTCAAATTTGTCATATTTTATTCAGTTTTTTTCTTCAGAAAGCAATAGAAAGTTACATCTGAGCCATTTTAAAGAAGTATCGGCTGATTTTTATAGAAAAAAGATTGAAATTTTAACTGTTAGAGATATGTTTAGGGTTAAGTCAATGAGAGGAGAGGGTATTTAAAACTAGAGGTCCCCTTTAAATACGTATTCAAATTCTGTACAGCAAGAAAAGAAAAAGAAAAAACTATCCATCTGTCACATTTTGTTCTTCTTTCACCTATTTGTAAATCAGAAAACTTACACCGTGAACAAATGTAGTCAATGCAAAGATTTTCTAATTTCTAATTTCACAGCAACCCTCAGCAACACAGTCGTCCTCTAATGTACGTTATGCCCTTCGTGAATTTTCATAAGCACTCCTTCATAATAATATACAGTGGACAACATTCAAGGGTCTCATCCATATGAATTCATTTCTATAAGTCTATTATTATTTAATAATGCTTTAATGGGAGGTTTTGTTGGCCAGCGGACATCCACTAACTCTTCCACGACGATAATGATGCTCTGCGCTGCTACAACATCATCGTCAGCGCTCACCTCCTACCAAGATATATCCATTGTCATATTTAACAGGCTCATAAATCCCCATCATCAAACCCAGAGCCGGTGTGAACATAACATACAGTACCTCTGCCCAGTAAACATGTTAGAGGACTGGTTTATTAGTGTCAGGGCGAGCTTAACTTCTAACGTTGTAGCGGTCAATAGTCCACAATGTGAACATGGTATGATTTACTTTAAAAAGTCACACGTAAGCTGGCCTAACTTTGTCCCAGCGTTGCAGTCAGCTCAAGGATGCACATTGTTTTAATAAACACTGACTGGAACGAAACATCTTGTGCCTCCAAACAACGGTGCGTTTGCAATCTGGCAATCTTTTATTAGGTTACAATACGATGCCAAACACAACCTTGTTTGTGCCTCTTGGGGTGAAATTAGATGAAAACTGAAGATCACTATAATGCAAAACCTCCACCTCTTCGCGGGTTGTCTGGGTGTAGTTGTGTTGCATTGATGATCCTGTGGAGAGCGTTTGAGAAAGCAGATGGGCAGGTAAAAGAACACAGGATCAAAGTGGAGCTTTGGAGGCAAAGCATATGCTGCTGATGATAGTAAGCAAGGCTAATGATAAAATGTTAAAAAGCCTATGATTAATGGGCTCACCTGAGACTTGCCTGAGAGTACTCAAGAAAACACATGTTTATGCATTACTGCTGCTTCAAATATCCAAAGTCTAACTCTGAGATTACTCCAGAGCGGTGTGTGTGCGCAGCGTTGTTGTGTCGTAACACTGAAGCTAAAATTAAAGCTTATTTTATTGATGAATGCTCCGCAGCCCAACAATGAGATGGAAACAGATTAATTGCTAGCGGAAAATATTAATGTAGGATGAAGAGAGATCCGAGAACGAAGGGACGAGGAAGTGGAATTGTCAGGCGATTTGAATCCCACTCAACGCTCGGAAAAAGTGCAGCAAGAGCTCGAGAGCTTTTAGTCGAACGGTATGTACGCTGTAACGCTACACATGTCACATACAGAGAGAGGATGATGTCGAGTCTCCTGTGTTGGTCTCGGGGGAGAAGGTGTGCAAATGAGTGAGACAGAGATTCTACATGTAGTCCTGTCTGCTTGTCAGAATCTGTCACTTATTGTCAGGGGTCAGTGCTTACACAAGGCCAATGCTGTCCCCCAGGATGTGTTTTGCCTTGTGTGTGTGTGTGTGTGTGTGTGTGTGAGAGAGAGAGGAACTGAGACTGGAGGAGAGTGAAGTGCCCCGGAAATCAAATACATTTATTAGCGTCGCCACAGTCCCTCAGATTGTTTACATGGTGCTGGTCCGGTGATTATGTCAGATGGACCGGCCTTAAAGGCCCGCAGAACTATTTCTCTAAGAGATTAATCTTTCATGACTAACTAAAGAGCGATGTGAGATAAAGTTTTGGGAAAGAAGCTCCTGGGGGTAGCTTAGGTTAGTTTATTTGTTTTTTTTTTTAGGGTAGTTTGATCAGACTGAACCGACTTTGTATGATTTGATTACAAGCATTTCTAAATGTGCTTTCAAAACTCAACCGAGTCCACTTTCTGGTGTTGTAATTGGTCTTTACCTTCATATCTTCCAAGTCTGTACACACAGGGTTCAACCTGGTGGCATTTAACATGTCAGGAGGTATTTGGTTTCCCCATCTGTCTTCAAACTGTGTATTCAGTTCAGTTTTTAACCACACTAGTAGCACATTTTTAGGAGTGGTCTTGACTTAAATATCCTGACTTTACCTGTAGTGCCACCAGTAAGTTGACGTTTTTAGTTTAGAGTCAAATCTCCATTGACTGTATATAAAGATGGACGAACCCTTAGTTATGTCACCTTTAGATTTCCTGAGCGGTTCAGGAAATCTGAAGCTCAGTGGGGTAGCTCCAGCTGTCATCATCTGGGCAGTGCCAGGCCTGACTCCAAAAAGAAGTGGGGTTGAGAGAGGCCACACGAATATCTCTCTGCCATGGACTGTCACTGTGACCACGCCCTTAACTTAAGGTGTTAATACAGTTTAAACAGGTCGATTACATATACATTTCCACATGTAATTTTTTCATGAATAGGAAAATGAGCTAAAGAGACCAAAAGCGTTTCTGTACCAGGCTGTAAACACGTTTATTTCTACTGGACATTTTAACATGGTCGTGTATGAGGATGGACTCACTGTTGGAGTCAG